ATTTTGGGCATTTATTTGTTCACTATTTTCATTGCATTTCATTTTCCCCAATGTTTTATGAATTATTTCAGTTTTCTTTTTAATGTTGCAATTTTGTGTAGACTTTTTATGCATATTTTTAAGTAGGCTTATTGTAGGTATACGATGTCTATGTGTGTAGATGACTACTGGTGGCTCCTTAATTAATAGATTATTCATAATTTGTTAATCATTTTCAAATATTCCCGAATATTACATCATGATCCTTATTCCCTCAGCACACGGGAGTTCTTTCTAAGCTTTCTTTGATTAGTTTTCTGGTAGAGTGCCTTACTAGAAACAGTCTGGATATCAATATTATACAGGTCTCTAATTTTGTTAATGTCTTCATACATATATGTATGCACATCAATTTGTTTCAGGATCTGCTTCAAGATGGTCCTGAATGACTGATCACTGGTGATACACATTCAAAGGTCACTGATCTCAGTGGAAATATGCATTGTTTTCAATAAAGCAAATCATTTATCTTGTAATAATATCCTTGGTAATGTATCTCTCAAATCCCATGGGAATACTAGACTGGGTTTCAAAACTCATGTGCACAGTCTGATACACATTTGCAAACCTAAAATCTTTACAGAAAACAAGATAAGCACTCCTATGAATTGGGTGCAAAACTTTGATCAAGATCTGAAGCTAATAGAAAATCTGTTTATTAAATCAAAAACAATACATCAAAAATACATTAAAAGCAAAACTTTGCATCCACATTTTGAAAAGAAAATTGTACTCAAAAATAGGTATTCTGTATTTGACAAACAGTTCATTTGACAAATTCACAGGAATTTGTTTCAGCTATTAGAACAGAATAATAGACCTTTTATAAAAATAATTTAAAAACGCACTTTAAAAACCCAAAGATTGCAATGTTTGAAGATATAGATTCTCAGGAGGCAAAAGTACTGTTGACTTCTCTCTCACTGGACACCAACTAACTATTTTAAGTTGATTTGCATTACAAAGCAGAGCTTGCAACATGATAGAGGGCATTGTTTTTTTTAGCTCCGATGTCGACTTTGTCGAGCGGAGCTTATCATATGAGTGATTGTCCGTTGTCGTCCGGCGTCCGTCGTCATCCGTGTCTTTGTTTTACTTTTTCGACTTCTTCTTGAAAACTACAAGCCTGAATGCTTTGATACTTGGTGTATATATACCTTGGGTAGACCTCTCTTAGATTTGTTCATTTCATGTTGATATCTTCAATTTTCTAATTTTGGTGAATATTTTT